GTTTCCTGTGAAGACAGGCTGGGATCCTGGGCATCAACCTAAGAAAGGGCCACCCCCAGGGGTGGCCAGGCTACTTCCTCAGAAAGATATTCCCAGCTCAACTTTGCATAATTCCCAGCTCAACTTTGCATAAACCGTGTGAAAAAGTACCAGAAAAATGCCTAGGAAAGCCAATGGAAGGAGAGTAGTATCTCAGAACATGGACAATACATTCACTTTTAAAAACTGCTATATAACGGATCAATTTTGCTCAGTTTTGGTTCCTTAAAGAATATAAATTACATAGGGGCCGGCCCCGTGGCGTAGCGCTCCACTGCTGGCGGCCCAGGGTTCGGATCCCGGGCGCGCACCGACGCACTGCTTCTCCAGCCATGCTGAGGCTGCGTCCCACATACGGCAACTGGAAAGATGTGCAACTATGACATACAACTATCTACTGGGGTTTTGGGGAGAAAAAGGAGGAGGACTGGCAATAGATGTTAGCTCAGAGCTGTCTTCCTCGGCAAAAACAGGAGGATTAGCACAGATGTTAGCTCAGGGCTGATCTTCCTCACACACACACACAAAAAGAATATAAATTACATAAAAATACAATTTACACAATTTAAGAGTGATCAGTACCGTAACAAAAGAATCAACCCCTTGTCCAGTAAGAAGTAACCTGAGTAACCAGTAAGTACAATCGACACTGTGAGGGAAAGAATTAGGCACGTGTTAGAATAAACCATGTTACCAAGGGGGCCGATTCCTACCGTACATTTAACATGCTGTGCGAAGGAACTTCAACTATCTCTTCGGAACCCCAACTGCTCCCACCTCATGATGACAAAACAGGGAGCTTCTGAGAGAGGAATGAGTCCCACACGATCAGAACCAGTGTTACCTCAATTTCAAAACAAGGACGAGGTCATCCACCTTGCTGGACTGCCTACAAACTGAATGCGGCACACGCACGGAAGCCAGCACCTGCTCCATCTCCAGAAAGATTCTTTTATGCCCCAAGTGGAATCTCATCTAACCAAAGCTCAAGGACATATGAAGTGTTGGGTCTGGGGACCTCCAACTGATGGTTTTGACACCCACAATTTTATCTCCAGGCTTCATCACAGCTAATGTACCAGGTAAATTCAACACCCCTGGGGCAGACACCCTGCGATGAGACGCACAGCCACAGCAGCTCCAATTATCGCAGGCCGTTGAGGGAAAGGTGGTAAAGAGCGCGAAGAGAAAACTTCTCAACAGCTCCAGAAGAAACTGAAAAATTGACAAGCCGACCCAGAGCATCAGACTGCATTTTTGCATTAGAAGCCCCTTACTATCAACTTTGGGATCCGTCTTTCAAATTAAACCTAACCTCCCGGTAGACAGTGGTGACAGTCATCTGGTGGGCCCTGAGTGCCAGGGGCTCAGAATGTCCACGAAGTCACACCCACCCCGGCTGCCAGGAGGGCACACGGAGGAAGATGAGAATCCAGTCAACTGTCAGACCAAGGAAACAGCCAGAGCTCTCTGCGTGTCCCTCGCAGCTGAATGTCTACTCTGAGCAGGTCCACTTTGGGGCGCACCGCACTGGGCTATAAACAACAGACATGCCTAGTACACCCCTGGGAAGGCTCATCTCACAGGGACATTCAGGCCTCTCCCAGCATTTCTTTCCCTTTAAATTCACCTCACAAAGAAAAATCAATCATATTAAAACCTCATTAATAATCAAGTACACTTGGTGGTGTACCTTTAGAAAGGCTTTTCTGGGAGGAACAAAAATACTGCACATTTTCCATAAATGAACAAGAACTGTGAAAACCCATGTTATAAATCTAACATATTCTAACATTCTGGCAAAAACACTCTGAAGCATCTGAGAGTCAAAGGAGGTGAGAGCTTGTTTACTCCCTACTAAGGACAGGAGGAAACCCCTCCCCTCACAACCCCACCATTTAGAGAAGAAATGCCCCACTGCGGGCACCCACACTCTTGGCGGTGAGAAGCTGAGCCAGGCCTTTCCAAAACAAGCTCTTCAGGCAGTATACACCGCTCTGCATTCGCTGCTGCCAACTCAAGGAATGTTCCAGTCACAGCCCACTGTCTTCGCAAGACCACTCTGGAAGAATCCCACCAACTAACTCCTAATTCGGCAATGCAATGCTGACAAACGTCCTTACGAAGAAATCAAGATAGCAGCTTACAAACACACACAGCGTCTCTTGGTATAACCTAAAATTCCACAAATTAAAACCAAAAAGTGATCACTGCCACTCCTTGTCTCCTCCCCCAACACCTAACATCACAATTTCTGAAAGCCAACCACATTTTTGGCTTCTTTCCACAGCATTTTTCAAACTTTCCATTTTGTTGTTAGTGCGGTTGAGTCCATTCTTTCTCCTAGCGCCCCTGCGTACAGCAGAGTGGAATCCTGCCTGGTCTCTCTGCGCATCCTCTCCCCTTCCAGCGCTCTCCCCTTCCAGCGCTACATCAGACAACGCTCTGCTGCCAGTCACAAGGTTTTCATGGCCAATTTTTTCAGAACTGGGTGGCCAGGTCCTTCTTCCTCGTCTGTCTTAGTCTGGAAGCCCCGCTGGAACCTGTCCACCATGGGTGAGCCTGCTGGTATTTGAAATACTGGTGGCATAGTTTTCAGCATTACAGCAACATGCAGCCACCATAGCATGACAACCAACAGACGGGTGGTATGGTTCCCCGACCAGGACATGAATGCGGGCCACAGGAGTGAGAGCGCCAGATCTTAACCACTAGACCACCAGCAAACTATTCCGTTAATTACTAAACCATTCATCTTTTATGGAAATTTACCGCTAATTGTTTAAACAACTTGAGTTTAGCAATTTGTACTATATAAAAGCAATACATATTAGTTGAAGAAAAATAAGTCATGTCTAATTCTACAACCCATACAGTAAAATTTACTGTTTTGGGTATAATTTCTGCTAGCACTTTCCTGTGCATGAATTAGCTATTAAAACACAAAAATTAACTAAAATTCACATTGGATACAACTGTTCAAGTATCCTTTTCATTTGGAAAAGTAAATATACCAGAAAACATCCTGCCCTATAGCACCAAGTTAAATAAAATTTAAAAACAAAAAAGATCTGCCAGTCCCCTGAGCCAAAGCACACTGAAATCATCGAGAAGCTATGAAAGGAATGTTCCAGCAGCTGTTACATATGCACAACCGTCACATCAAATGCTTCAGTTCTTCCCCAAATGGAGTCCCAGCACGGTGTAGGAGTCTGGCTGATAATATGCAAATGAAAACAAACTTTCATAGATAAAAACAGAATCACTTTTCCCAAATATGTACAATCCAAGAGGCTGTGGTGTGGCTGCTTGTTTTTCTTTTCGTGGGGGAGGGGGGCTAATCCCATACTTACTCAAAATACCACTAACACAATTTGAGATTACTCAAACATCCAAAAATGCCTCACTGGCCCATTAGAAGACTCATTCAAATATTCAGGGCCTGGTACGTGCCCGACACTGGGACACCAACGTGTGGGACTGCTCTTGTTCTCACAGAGCTGGTGGTGCACACTCACCAACAGAAAACGGGGAATCGATGAGGCCAGTGCCGCTGCTTTCAGGCTGTGCAAGTACGCAGAATGGAGGAACAGCAGCCAGAAGACGGAGGGACCATAAGTACCAGCAGAAGTGTGGAAAAGCCAGTGTGCAGTTCCCAGGATGGGATGTGGGAAACAAAGGGAACGGCCCAGACCAGGAAGAGATCTGGGTACAGTACAGAGGGGTGTGCAGGAGGGGACAGGAAATAGGACATGCAGGAACAAGACAAGCTCTCAAGTGTCTCATACGCCAGGCGCATCTCAGAGGCGTTGGACAGGAGAGCGACTGAATTCTAGCCACCCAACCACGGACACAACGCAGTGATGACATGGAAGACGGGCCGAGAGGGCAGAAAGGTCAGGAGCAAGGACGACACGCGCCACAACAAATCTTTAATGACTACTCACTAAGGGACACGAGGACTGGTTCTCCAATAACTGGTGAAAGGGAAAGCATTAACGGCGGACTACGTGAAGGGGAGACCAAGTCAAGATGGTGCCCAGGCTCCCGCAGGGAGGGAGATGGATGGTGGTGCTGGGAGCAGATAAGGTGGAACAAAGGAGGAACATGGAGTAAGGGCGAAGGTCAAGGAGAACGGAAGCAGCTCTCCTGCCCGAGCCCCTCTGCACTTAAAATGAAGTAGGCATAAGGTGCACGCTCAGGGCCAGGACGGAGCACGGTCCACAAAGGGCCAACACACGCGATGACGCCCCAGTGGGGTTGGCTTCCCCACCAGCACTGCAGCTTACAAATATTAAAAGTACCATCTTGTTAAAGACAGAGAACAGAGCTCCTTAACCCTGTCCCGAGGAATTTGCACGGTGTAACCACCACACGCGTCCACATCTCCCTTAGCCAGGGACTGTTGGACTGCATCTGTCTTTCCAAAAGCTTGCAGGCAGGGGCCAGTACTTAATGGGATTCGTTAAGACATCAAATGTTCATCTGTGGCGTAGGCCCAATGTTGTTAGTTACGAGACAGCACAGCTAAGCAACTTCCTTATAAACACACAGCTACAGTTACTCCTCAGAGACTATTCCATGAAGCAAAGGGCTCGTTTTAGGCACAGGCTTCATGGGGAAAATATATGCAGCACAGCATCCTGGGATGAAGAGCATGGACGGGCTCTGGAGGATCGTGCTGGATGCCACCCACCCAGTCTGTGCCCACAGCCTCGTCTGAAAAGTGGGCATGTTACAGATCTACCCAACAGAGTTGTTGTGGTGCTCAAGTGAACAGTGCTGGATCAGGTCTATCAGCTGTATTATCACACCATCACCATCTCCTGGGGTGTTTGGTAGGGTTTGAGGACAATTATAAGATGGAAACTAAGGTTAACGCAGAGGCACACAAGGCCTCCATTTTCTCATCTGTGGATCGTTTGTCTGAAAAGCCCCCGAATTCTTCTGAGGTCCCTCAGCTCGGGGGATGGCACTCTCCCTTCCCTGAGCTGGCCCGTTACTTTGCTCTCATGTACTAGGCTTTGGGTCATGTTCTGTTCTAATGCCCTGCTGTAGTGGGCTGCCCTAAGTAGAGCTGCTGACACCCTGCACTCCACCTGGACGGCAGCAGACGGTAGAGAACAATGCACCATAAAGAATACTCCGGATCATGCGCTGTGGGAACACGCTCAGTAAAGCGAGAAGTCAGAGCCCCAGCAGTTCACACTGCTCTCTTCTTCCTACAGCAACCTGTGCCTGACGCCTCAGGCCACATGTCCCTACTTGGGCTGAAATGGGGCCTGAGAAGAACAGGATCAGGATCAGTTTAGAGAAGGGGGTGGGAAAGATTAGGACTGCGTTTTGTTGGAGGCAGAGAGGGAAAATTTCAGTTCCCTCATTTCTAGCCACCTACTACACAAACTAGAAGTACGATTCACGTCAAAATAACACTATAAAAGGAACCCTGTGTGCCCCAAACGTCCATAGACACCTGCTGGCCCCGAGTCGGTGCAGAGCCCTGCTTTTTTACTCCGTCTTCAGTGCTGCAGAAATGTAACCGTGTGTCTGAAGCACCGATTTTATCAAGATGGACCAAGATTGCCACAATAAACAATAATTGACGTAAATCTTGAAAAGGCATGTCATAAAAACAGAATGAACGTTCTAGCTTTCGTAGGGTTACATATTAACAAAATCTAATTTTTCTGAAGACATACAGTTCAATCCACAAAAAAATTTCATAATAAGTGATTCTAGTTTCTTCTCAAAGCTCTTCAGTCTTTTTTGAAATACTGACATCTGTTAAACAAATAGATTTTCTAAAAAACCATTTAGACTAAGCAAGATGTGAGCCAAGGAATTCTTGTAGTTGTTTTAATCAAAATAATACACCACAAATAGACACCATTTTGTCGGGGCCTCCCCTAAGAAAAAGGCAAAACCACCCCAGGCGTCAGTCACGCAATCAGCCCTCTCCTTCAACACATCAGCGCTGGACGCCTGGAGCCCAAAGCTGGTTCCTGTGTCCGTAACAGCAGCAGCAGTGAAGACCATTCACCTAGTAAGAGTCCTATGAAATTCTCTTTAAAATTTTAAAGCAAAACTAGATGAGACGTTTGTTTTAAAGGTCAAATAACAAAAATGTTGAGTGTACATTAAAGCTTCTGCACTTGATACCGCTACATACTGCACACTACACTCAAGTGGCTTCTTTCAAGTACAAAGATGACAAAAAACAAAAAATGCTGCTCATAAAGTTTAGGACTTTATATTTCCAGACCTAGTATAACAAGTGGGAAGACACACAGCTAAACTGCACCTCTGTGTTTACAACTTCAAACTTGAGAGGTAAAGACAAAATAGATCTTTTTCTGTTAAGGGCTAAGGTATTCTTCCCCCCGTATTTTTTTAATTTATTTTTTTTCCCCCAAAGCCCCAGTAGATAGTTGTATGTCATAGTTGCACATCCTTCTAGTTGCTGTATGTGGGACGCAGCCCCACCATGGCCGGAGAAGTGGTGCGTCGGTGCGCACCCGGGATCTGAACCCGGGCCGCCAGCAGTGGAGCACGCACACTTAACCACTAAGCCACGGGGCCGGCCCTTCCCCTCTCTTTAAAAATCAGTCTTTAACAAATTTACTCACTATACGAGAACCCTGATAAGCTGCCTCAAAAAAAATCCAAACACAGGCAAATTACTAAGAATTAAATCACGTCACAGTGGCGAAAGGACAAAACAGCTACCATATGGGAGAATAAAAATTAAGACTCCGTATCTCACTCAAAAATTCTAGATGGATTAATATTTTAAACGTTTTTTAGACGGTAAATATACAGAGGCAGAAAATCTTACCCAAGATAGGAAAAAAAAAAAAAACAAAATAAACATTCACAGAATTAACTACGTAAAAACTTCCTGTTTCTGAACCTTTCATTCCTAACAACAGATGTGTTACAGGCCATGTTTTGAATGAAAATGGAAATAAAAAATATAAGCAACTTATAAAAGTCTTTATTTTTGTTGATTTCTAAGTCAAACTCAAAAGTAATTTTAAAAACTCTCATTTGTGAGTGAAAAGGCTGCAAATAAATATACTGCAGAAGCACAATTAACAAAGAGAATAGGAAGAAAAAGATTAAAATTAGATATTCTTTAAAAAAGAGACTTGGAGGGCCGGCTCCGTGGCTTAGCGGTTAAGTGCACGCGCTCTGATGCTGGCGGCCCGGGTTCGGATCCCGGGCATGCCCCAGGCACCACTTCTCCGTCCAACGCAAGGCCGAGTCCCACGTACAGCAACTAGAAGGATGTGAACCTATGACATACAACTATCTACTGGGGCTTTGGGGGGAAAAAAATGAGTAAATAAAATCTTTAAAAAAGAGACTTGGAAAATATCAAAAGCTATTGTTTTAAGAGGGACTAATAAAACAGGTTAGGCGCTTAAAAAGCCTCAGATATAAAAGAACAAATGTAAACAATGAGAAAGAAATCTAAGCACAGACTGGCCGAAACCTCACAGGTCTCAAGAGGATTGACATGTTCAGTCAAAAGAGAATTTAGCAGGGGCCAGCCCAGTGGCGTAGTGGTTAAGTTCGCATGCTCCGCTTTGGCGGCCCAGGGTTCGTGGGTTTGGATCCTGAGCAAAGACCTACACACCGCTCATCAAGTCATGCTGTGGCAGCGTCCCATATACAATATAGAGGAAGATGGGCAAAGACGGTAGCTGAGGGACAATCTTCCTCATCAAAAGAAAAAGAGAGAACTTAGTAAACTGATGACAAAGAGAAAACCTAAACAAATCAGTAATAATAGAAAATTTTAAAGGTATCAGTAACTAGAAAACGCGCTGAGACCAGATGACTTCGCAGGCACAATGAACTGAATCTTGGGGACAGACAGGCATGGAAGCTTCCCAATGAAACAAGAGCAGGCTGACCACCAAACCATGATCTGGGCATGGCCCTCCTGACGGTCGGAAGTCCGAGGTGAAGCTCAAGTCAGAGAACCCAGCACTGCCACGTCGGTTTCTTTCTCAAACAGGAAGAGGCCACAAGCACAATCCCACGAAGAAAAATAGTACTAAAATCAGCCTACTGGGAACAAGAGAAAAAGTGTCTGGGATTAACGATTAGAGAAAGAAAAATAGGGGTAAAGTATGAGAAAATCTCTAGGGTTTTCCAGCTATATACAATATATCTTGTAAAAAAGATCAGAGTGAGCCAAGAGCACAGTCAAATGACTGGACAAAAGGCCACAGGAAACCTCATTTTCCTACGGGTTATACATAATAGCCAGTTAGAAAAGGAAATACACGCCCACACACAAAGTTCCCAGCCTCATCTAGCAAGACTTTTAAGAAATGTGCATGTCTACATGAAAACACCATTCATTTCACAGCTGTATGTAAAACAAATTTTTTTAAAAAGGCAACTCTGCCATATTGTTCCTGGATGTCGAGGTTTCCCTAAATTAATCTATCAATTCAAATCAACTGGGGAGAACTGGAGTTGATTTGGCTTTTCTTTGAAAGTATAAGAACACCCAACAAGTGTTTGAAAACGAGCTGCCCTTTCAAGTAACCACCACAGTTGATACGGTGTGATCCTGGCACAGAATACGACCAACAGAAAACAAGAGTCCCAAGATAGCTGTACTAACAGAAATTTAGCAGATATTAACAGTGGCAAGAAAACTGGGAGAAAGCCAGATGTTTTCAACATACAGAAAGATTCCAAGTAAATTAAAGAAGCAAACAAATACACGAAAGACCATGAGGAAAACAGATCTTCAGCTGTAGAAGATGTATGATATTAAGCCAAATACCAAAAACAGAGACACATTTCTATACAAGAAATTAAGACTACCATACAGTAATTCAAATGAACAAAGGACAACTGAACAGGAAAATCACCTCAAAAGCACAGGCAAAGGATGAATAAACTTCATGTAACGGGCCCCTACGAAATCAGAGAACAACTCAGAAAAACAGGCACATACCAGCTCACATACAAACAAGATGCTCTACCTAATTAAGAAACCCAAGAAATGTAAATTGCAAACTCTTAACAGACAGTGTTAGCAAGTATGTGAGGAATCCATTGTTGATGGGCACTTACTTTGTGGAAAGTAATTTATGACTATCAGTTTTAAATGCACACGTCTCAACCCAATTATTCAACTCCCAGGTACCTAATTTAATGGAATTGCTCCTATAAGAACACAGACTCTACACAAATACCTCAAAAATCACAGGAAAAAACGTATACAACATTATGTCAGGTTGCACAAGAGTGTCACACCGAGGCCAAAACAGGTGCAAAGACCGGGGAGCACAAACTATGGGTGGGGACAGCTGCCCCAGCCACGTACTAGGTGACCAATTTCAGGACACCAGCCATTCCAAAACGAACTGGAAATCCAGTCGCTGCTTGGCAGGTGACTGCCCAAGCCGCTGGCCTCTATGGGGACTTTCCTCAGTCTCTTCTGAACAGCCCTTCTTGGCATTCCAATGCCCTTAAACACATTATGACTGCTCAACTGTGCACAGGGTCCACGGCCAGTGGACCCTCCAAATAGTCCAGGGGGCCACATACAAGGGAGGGAGGTGGCTCAACTGCCATATGGAGACCACCACTCATTCTCTTCCTGCTCTCGATTCCATGTTCAGACCCCTGGTGTCACATCAAACAGCCTAGGAAGCCTCAGGTTATCTGCCTTGGCTTAGGGGTGATTAGCAGCAGTGTTCCCAATTTGAGGGGTGGGTGGAGTGTTCAGAAAGCCTAGGTTTGTGCAGACTCAGGGTGCATGCTCCCCACTACCTCGATGCCCAAGAGGAAGGGCAGCTCGCCATGGGGGCAGGAGAAGGATAAATCTTCAGTCACAACATTGCAAACTAAAGGGAAAGGGAGCAAAGGTCAGCTGGGCAGAAGCGGCTCACCATGAAACCACAGATCCACGCAGGGAACGGAGCCAGAGCCCAAGAAGGGCGT